CCCGAGACGAAGTTGAAGAGATTATTCGACAATATTCACCGAACCTGAGGCGAATAATTGTTTTAGTATAATTTCAGGGCTGAACAAAAGAGAAATTTCTAAAATCATAACATTTTAGTAACATTTATTAACGTTTTATTTTAATATTTTATATAAACCGCGTGAAGCGGTTTATATAGCGTCATATAAGGAACCGCTTGACCAATCAGATTGCTAGAAACTCTTTGCTCAGCTCTGAAATTATACTAAAAACAACAATTCTCCCTAGTATCAGTGTCCACTTCTGTAAATAGTTAACTATCCGTTCTTGCTTGGGTTTCAAATTCTTAACACCTGTACGCTTAACAATCTATTGATATTATAAGGAGAAATCAGTTCCTAATCTATAAATTTTTAGTGCTGTACGATACCTGCACGCAGTTTCAAGCTCCATTCCTGAGAAACCAAAAGCACTGTCGCCTTGGACGCACACCACCCTCCTTGGGCGGTTTTTGTCTTTAGCTTGGCACTCAGCTAACAGGGCAGCAGCTATGGCAAAACCGGTCCCCACCCCCATTGTACCAAACGTGCCCGCGTCTAGCCTGGGGTGAAATGCAAAGAAAATATTTTCAAATTGCATGCTATGAAAGTCAATAAATGCAATTTATTATAGTAATAGTTTGTGTGCTGGAATTTGACTCACGAAAGGCCGGCTATTTACACGAGGTCTAATCCAAACCACGGTTTCACGCAACCAATATGCCTCAGGTATTCTCTAAAAGAGGGCGGATTTAATTAAATAAACTGCCTTCGCTGCTAGCTTTCGGCCTTCTTGACACTTTTCAGAAAAATGAATGTTCAGATAAAAGATTCAGATCAACTGAATGTAGTTCAGAGCGCGGTTTTGTTAAACAACGGCTAGGCTTTATTTAAATCATCATCATCATTATCATCATCATCATCATCATCATCATCAGGGCTAAATTCACTTCTGGCGGAGGAACCCCTCCCTGGAATGATCCCACAGGTATCTGACTTTAGCCAATCCCGACCATGCAGGTCCCAGCTGTCTGATGAGATCATCCCTCCATCGTGTTTTTAGACGATCCTGTTTTCAGGTCCAATCTCTTGGGGTCCACTCCGTTTGCTCTAATGGTCCAAAAGCTTACGTGATCTTATAACAGTTAGGTGCTGCACTTATAACCTTAGGGGGCACCACAATACTGGACCTCCCAATAGTAAAATCAACAACTTTCGGGTTGAGATCATGGAGATATGCTGCATCGAAACTATGGAACGCTTTACCGGACGAGTCTCGAAAGATACAAACATTTACTACTTTTAAAAATTACTTAGAAACATTAGATCTCACGGGACTCTAGCGCGGTGAGGATCTATCCTTAATTATATTTCCTGNTCGGTCTCAAGGGTAATGTTCAGCATTATACGTTCCATCTTTCGCTGTGCGACCGCAAACTTCTCTGCAATAGCGTTGTTCAATGCCCATGTTTCGCACCCGTAAGTCATTACTGGTAGAATGTACTCGTCGTGTATCTTCCTCTTCATCTTCATACTTGCCTTGTGGCTTCTCATGATGTTGCCCACTTTTCTAAAGGCTGCCCAACCAAGTGCAGTCCTTCTCCTAATCTCAGGAAGTAGGTCACCATCTCGTGTCAATGTCTTTTCAAAGTAGACATAGCTGTCTGCTTCCTCAATGGTCTTGCCATCGACAGTTATTGTTGACTTGTTGACGTGGTCACTGAACATCACTTTAGTGAAGAGCCTTGATGCATGTTGAGGTCAACTGGTTTCCTTATCTTATGGATGTCAATGAGCATACTGTTCACTTCCTCTGGTGACTTGGCCAACACAAGATGATATCGTCAGCAAAAATTAGATGGGAGAGGTATTCTCCATCCATCTAGAGGGCTCTGCCTTCGCAATCAATTCTCTTTATGATCGCATCCTGAAGACATGATATAACGAGTCTAGGTGATACGTTGTTACCCTGCCAAGTTCCCCTCTCCAAAATTATTTTATCACTGTCCCTAGGTAGTTTTAGAACCAAGGTGGCACCATTGTACAGGTCACGTAAGATAGCGATATAATCCTGATCAACTCCTTGGTTTTCCAGTGCCTTGAAAAGCGGTGTAAATTCAATGGAGTCGAAGGCCTTCAGGTAGTCTACAAAGGCAAAACAGAGTGGAATCTTATACTCGTTTGCCTTCTCTTGTAGCTGACTTAACGTGAATGTGGTCGACGGTAGAGAAACCCGCCCTGGAGCCTGCTTTCTCTCTTGGTTGGTGTTGATCTAAGGCACCTAACATCCTTCGAAGCACGATTTGTGAAAAGACTTTGTACGTAACTGGCAGAAGGCTGATCGGTCTGTAGTTCTTGTTTAAATACCCGGCCCTAAAAGTCTGATGTGCAATTACTTAATTTTTGTGGTAAAGAGCCCTGTTGTGGATCAGGACCCACCACTGGAGAGATGCAATAGTCCATTTTACAGTTGCATGCGTGGTTACCAAACCTTTGAATAGGAGTGAGGCTAAGGGTGACCTTGTTATGATACATTTTTTTTAAGCTAGTGTCGAACGTAATTTGGGATTGCTTTGGTTTTGGTTTGTTTCGATAAGTGATTGGTCCAGAAAACTAACGCCACTTTCTCGACCAATCAGATTCAAAACTAAAACCCTGAATCGCGATACGGTCACGTTCGTTTTCCCGCGCTTTGAAATTCATTGGTTTCCCGTGACGGTTTTCCTCTGTTCTAATTGGTTGTTGCGTTTTCAATGGTTTTGAGCCAAATGCAAAGGACTAAGTTTGAGTCCTAGCTGGCTCACTATGAAGTTTCCTTGAGCAAGATGGTTAAATCGTAGGGTTTCTCTCTCTACCAAAAAATATGAAGTATGAGTATGAATGGTGAATTGTGTTACGATATGTGATGGATTTAGTATCGCAAGGGTTTTCGGGTGTCAGTATTACGCCCGCTGTAGGCCAGCGGACACGAAGTCTTCGCGGGCACACGATGCAAGCTGCACGGGCGTAAAGTTTCACGTGTTTTGGAGCTAAAATAAAGGACTTGTCTTAGCAACGAGTTGCCGTAACAAATTGTATGACATGGAGACTGCGTTAGTTTCCAACGGTGTGAGCCTCTTTGTTTCAGTACTTTCTTGCCAAAACTGCACGTGTGAAGCAAATAAGTCTCTAAATTAATAACAAAGTTAAAGCAAATTGATGACAGATTCTAAAGAAAAAAAAAATTAAATGACATCATACCTGTTTCGAGGGAGGTGATTGGGTATCATGGTTCGCCCAATGTCCATAGTGTTTGCTCCTTCATTAACTACAACACAGTCATGTGGTAAATGCTTTGTGAGCTAGAAAATAAAGAAAGGTGCCATTATAAATAACCTCCTGTTTTCCAAGAAAAGTATGTTCCTGTGCTTCAAACTTATTCACCCACTACAAGCTATGTAACCATGCCTCACTGTGCACATTGCAGAACCATATAAGGTCACTAGGACTGTATTTGAAAGAGAACTGGTACTCATTAAATTTCATGTAAAAGCCCATATGGTGTGTGGACTACAATCCGATTCCAGAGATCTGGGTTTAAGTTCTGGCCGGCTCATTGTCTTGTTTTGATGAGCATGATGCTTCACCAGTCAAATAACACTCTAGGCATCGCCACACTGACAGGTAGGAGCCCAACTCAGACAAGTAGGAATACTTCTGATCATTTTATGTCAGGGAAGCTGAAATAATTTTCATGGTATGGGTAACCATAGTTATTATTAATAATTTGGATATATCAACAAAGTTGAAATGGTAAATTGGCCACCGTAACGATTACAAAAGCTGACGTTTCGAGCGTTAGCCCTTCGTCGGAGCGAATTCGCTCCGACGTTTCGAGCGAATTCACTCCGACGAAGGGCTAACGCTCGAAACGTCAGCTTTTGTAATCGTTACGGTGGCCAATTTACCATTTCAACTTTGTTGATATATCCAAATTATTTCGTTACTCCCACCGACGCAGCCCCAAACAGTTTCTTTCGAAACTATCAGCCTTTATTCATTATTATTAATAAGATGACTTAAAAATTATGAACACTCGAATTACCTGACCGTAAACTTGGTAGTAGTTCATTGGAACAGATGTCTCATTGGCAAGTTCCTGATGAAGTAAAATTCATATTATTGAAGTGAATTTTGATCAAGTGTCGTAAAACCAACACTAAAAGGAGCTACTTCGTACTCAAAGTGAACAAAAACAAAAAGCAAGAGCAAAAACAACAACAAACAGCAGAAACAACAACAACAAACAACAAACAACAACAACAAAATCAGTAACAACAACAAAAACAGAAACAAACGGTTATAGTACCTATACCTCATTGTTTTGTTTGTTTGTATCAGACTTTTCTTTGAGTTCTTTTTTCCAGCTGGGTAAACCACAGAGATTTGCTGGATCTATTCCAAACTTTCTCTCAACTGCATCCCTTAGCTACAGATGAAATTAAATAGCATTGAATTCTCAAATAGTAGAGCTTGGAGTGGGGTCGTTTACTGTAGCCCTTTGTTTAACAATCAAGAGCTTCATTTTCTTTATTCTCATGACTTTAGATTAATGTTTGTTTTAGAGATGAAATTCTACGGAGAAATTAGACGCTAGTCACTCTTAGCAGTTACAGGTTTAGCAAGGAGTTCAAGAGACAATTTTTAAAAGTTTAGGTTATACATTTAAAGCTGTACTTGCTATTATTATAAATGACTGAAGAAAGTTATCATCATAATGGTGTACCTGTTCTGCCACTCTCTTTAAATCTCCCCAAAGCATAACCTCTGCATGTACATTATTATTCATTTCCTCTGCATGGAGATCAATCTAAAGATAAACAAATGGCTCTCTTACGTCCAGAAATGTAAATGTTCATGTTTGGCAATATTGGCATATTTTTGTCAAATTCATCAGAGCGAAACGAGCTGGGCAGAATCAACGATTTTGAAGAATTTTCATAAAATTCCTCAAGGCAAAATCAGCTTTGCAGATTTGATGATTTTAATTAATTTTTGCCATTTTTGTTACTGCATGCATTTCCAGACATAACAAGCTGGTCATTATGTTGGTTCGTAATAAACCTGTGAAGTAATGAGTCAACGTTTGTGAATATAAATATGATTTTTTTTTTTTCACATATATGATTTTCATATCTTCTCAAGCATTGAGTATGCCTGGAATATAGCCAAAAGATGGAAACAATATGTACATGCTTTCTCTAATAAACTAATAAAGTGGAACTAAGGTGAAGTATTTGGTGCCAAGCTAATGTCTCTATGATTTAAACATTGAAGAAAGATGTAACTTATGGTAAATGGCAGGAAAAATTCACATTGGTCTATAAATTTAAAGTTTCTTTTCCGCCATTATTTAATGACAATATTATATACCTGTATTATTTTAACATCGGCCCTAAATCTTGGTGGTCTTCCAAAATGAAGAATCCAGTTCAATCTTGCACCAAACACAATGATAACATCAGCTTGAGATAAGGCTCTAGGGACGAAAGTATACATGAATGTAAGAAAGATTAATATGGCCAGAATAAATGCTGCTAGACTTCATTGGACATCAATAACAACTGAATGAGCAAGCAGTTATACTAACTTCCAGAAAAATCCACCATTGCAGAAATTTCTGAAGTTTGAATCTCAATAGGAGACTCAGCTTTCTTTTATTTTGGCCTCACCCTTAGGACAAATGTTTGACATCTTCCTACTTTATAACTGTCGTGATTTTTTAAGCCTAATTTTCATGCAAGCACAACGGCTCTTATTTCACCTTGAAAAAAGCCTCGACACAAGCATATATAAGCATAAGTACAAGCACAAGGATCAAAATGTTTCCTTTTTTCTTGTGCTTCTTTTTTCTTGTGCTTGTGCTTTGGTTTGTTGACCATCATTTTTATTTGGCACAACAATGTTAAGCTTTTGTTTGAGCTTGCCTCACTAATGAAAAACAGGCTTTAGTAATCATTGCTTGCATTTCATGCAGTGCAATATAATCAATGGTTGAATATTATTGATATTAAAAAGAATAGCTAGAGATAATTACCTTGATCTGGCTGCAGCCACACAGAGGGGATGCTCATCAGAAATCACTCCCTTCCCCATGGGGGTGGGGAGAAATGGCAGCTTGCATCTCTCTACAAATTCCTGAAGAGGTTTCTCAGCGTGTGCATATGCAGCACCTGTTATGAACCCAATATGAATACAATACAATTGAAGAGGCCAGAAAGCTGTAGACAGTGTAATTAATCCTTTATAACCATATTCGTGGAGGCACGGTGGCCACATGGTTATAGTGCACTGACTTGACTCGAGATTGAGTGGTCTACATTCAAGCCATGGCTGCAGGGGACATTTTGTTGTGTTCTTGGGCAAGACATATTACTCTCACAGCGCCTCTCTTCACCCACGAAGAATTTAAAATGAGTGCCGGCAAATTTAATCCTGGGGGTAACCCTGTGATGGACTAACATTTCACCCAGGGGGGGGGAGTAGAAATGCTCCTAGTTGCGTCATGCTACAGAAACCAGAGTAAAGAGCCCGCCTGATGGGCCACTTAGCTCATAAGCAGGCTTTATCTACCTATCAATATGCATATTCTCCATACTGTTCTCTATACATTTCATAAGGTGCTGACGAGGAAAATTTACTTAACAATCAAGAGCCTCTTTAATTAGTGATCATTTCCTCTATTCTCCTGACCTTAATGTGCAATCCATGAGTGATATAGTAGGGAGAAATTAGATGCTAGTCTTTCATAAGGGTCAAAGGGTTTTTGCAACCAAAACACTGCTAACAAGTGATATTTGGACCTAATAATTCCAGATCTTTGTACTGGACTGTGGCCTAGTGGCACCCAGTGGCCCCTGGCGCCTTACTTTTGCTCTTAGGTGACTCAGGAATCTTAGCTTTTTCATAAAAAGCATATGCTGGCACCCTGGATTTCACAGTTTTAGAGCACTGGGCTCCCTTCAATTTTACTTAAAGTACAGCCTTGTTGTACACCCACCTCTCCTTAGAGTATAGGTTTAGACAGTTGCCTAAAGTAAAAGCTACAGCTTTGCAAGAAGTGTGGCATTTGTTGTCACTCTTTTGCACCTGGTAAAATGAATGAGGTAAACAGTTCTTAAAATGGGTAACTGCACTTTCAAAGCATGTTCTTTCTCTTTTAATATTCTGTCTCTTGATGCCCAGCAATTAATAGACCCATCCAATTAGATACAACATTTACTGTCTTTTACTGTGCACACCTTTTCCAATTATCGCCAGAGGTTTACTTGCTTCACTAAGAACCTGGACAGCTTTGTCAACAGCAACTGGATCTGCTAGACACTTGGGTGGAGGAGGTGAACAGCAAATTTTCCTGAGTAAGAAAAATATTTTTACGATTTAATCACAGTTAAACTACAGATCATGTGTCTCCAAAGTAACAGTACCCTCACTAAATAGGAGACCAAGTCTGAATTTAATAACACAAAATATACATTTAAAAAATACCATCTACATGTATTTCAGCCTTATACACTACCTGGCTTGAAAAAAATTAAATAACATTTCTCATGATTTAAACCAAATGTGATTCTTTAAAGTCACATAACATTTTAGCTCTCTTTATACACAAGCATTGTTCTCTTCCACTGAGGATCCTGTAAAAAACATTTCATACACTTTGTGTAACTCCACGTAAATTATGTACAATAGCCTAGTGATTGTCTTAGAGTCTTTTTGCTCTTACGTAATTAAAATGGTTTGAACTTTTACCAGTCATCTATCCTGCAGCATGCTAATATCACAAACCAGTCCCATGTCACTCTTGGTCAACTTTACATTATTTGTATGGCTTACCTTGCCTTGCAGGCTGCAACCTTCTCTGTAATCATATTCCCTGGTAAGTCCAGATAACATGCACCAGGTCTTCCATAGATACTTGTCCTCACTGCCTATTAGTATAATTATTATAGCACAAAAAATCTAAAACAAAATTAGTAATAGAATTAACCGATTAATGATATACATGAAAAAATTATATGCATCTGAATGGCTGAAAATGTGAGCATTTTTCATGCAACACAAGTGTAAAGTTGTAACTTGAGTGCAAAGTTGTACACCAGCTCAAATTACATATAGCATGTGGGCTGTCAAAATGTCGCCTGTCTTGACTTTGTGTGATGCTTTTTTCATGTAAATTATTAACAAATAACAACATGATTTCTCATGCAATTTGGTGTGAAAAAGCACCTTGTAACTTTTCAAAGACTCCAAATTCCTTTGAAAAATTTACTTGTGCCTGTTGACACTAAATTACACTCAAAATCATGTTATTACCTATACTAATAAAACTTAACATAATCTTTTTGAGAGGTTTAAATATCTAGTGGTTCACGAAATACTTAAAACTACTGCAAAATTGCAGCAGAAGTTCTACTGTGGCTGCTGCAGTATCATTTTATAGAGAGTGTAGACAAACCCAGAAAGATGTATATTTTCACGTATTCCTATAATAAATAATTACTTCTTCTTTACCTTCTCAACAAAGAATGGTATCTCCCCAACACTGCTTGGTCTTGCTGAATACTTGCTATAAGGTCTTGCTGCTTCAACCTACAACAATCAAATCATAAATGAATTTTTTAAATATTTTGCTGCAAAACAATGGAATAGGATTCCAAATAAACAGGGAGAGGGGTTGGTGAAGTGGTGAGAGCACTCGCCTTCCACCAATGTGTCCCAGGTTCGATTCCTGGACCCGGCATCATAAGTGGATTGAGTTTGTTGGTTCTCTACTCTGCTCTGAATATTTTTCTCCGGGTACTCCCATTTTCCCCTCTCCTCAAAAACCATCATCATTTGAATTTGTTTCATTTAGAGTTTATTTGGATTTACACACGACCCCACAAGCTGTTCAGCTTTAAACATTATCGTGTCTAAATAAAGGTGTTATTATTATTATTATTACTGCGCTTAAAAGCTGGAGGCAGAGAATTTAACAAACAAGTGACGAACATTACATTTTAGTTACTTTAATGTTGTAATTTTAGATTTTTAGATACTTTCATTTTCCCAGATTTTTATTGTATTTTGATATTTTAACTTTTAGTTTATATATATATATTTAGTATAATTTCAGAGCTGAGCAGAGTTTCCAGCAATCTGATTGGTTGAGCGGTTCCTTATATGACGATATATAAACCGCTCCATGCGGTTTATATAAAATGTTAAAATAAAAGTTAATAAATGTTACTAAGATGCTATGACTAGACATTTCTCTGTTGTTCAGCTCTGAAATTATACTAAAACAATTTCAGTTAAAATATTTGATATTTTAACTTAGTTTATATTTAACAATTAGTCGCCGAATTGAAGGCGAGGTGAATAATTGTTTTAGTATAATTTCAGAGCTGAACAAAAGAGAAATTTCTAAAATCATAACATTTTAGTAACATTTATTAACATTTTATTTTAACATTTTATATAAACCGCGTGGAGCTGTTTATATAGTGTCATAGAAAGAACCGCTCGACCAATCAGATTGCTGGAAACTCTGCTCATCTCTGAAATTATGCTAAATATAATTATATAGAGGGATTAAACTTAAGTGTCTGTAAAACAGTGCTCGATACAAATAGTAGAGTGGGTATGATGTGTGGTAGGCAGAAAAAAACAACTACATATACATCCCTACAGGCCTGCTTTGTGGTTGCCCACTCATCAGGGGATTTTAATTCCCTGATGAGTGGGGATAATTAAAATCTCCTTGAACCCTCAACCTCCCGCACAACAGTCCAGCCCTCTACCAATTGAGCTAACCAGGAGGCAGTTAACATTCTATGGGATAACATTCTAACATGTGTAAGGAGAAGCACTTATTCTAAAATCCACAATCATTAAAATCCCCTGATGAGTGGGCAACCACGAAACAGGTCTGTAGGGATGTATATGTAGTTATTTTTTTCTGCCTACCACACATTATATAATTATATATATATATATAATTCGCTCTCGCTTGGCTTTGCCTTTTGGCTACCTTGCGATTGAGCACTCTACACTGGGGTTGCCATGCACTTAGCCTTCGGGCGAAGCTCATCACCTTAGTTGTGATTTGAGCACTCTCGCATGGCAACATGTCTGCACTTGGTCCCACAAGTGTAGCGCCCAGGCAATGGTTTATTCCAGAGCTTGGCCCAGTGTCTGCACTGCACTGATGAGACCCACATAGGTCGAAACAGTGTGCACTGTCTGCAGTTATATATATATATATATATATAATTATACCTCAAGAATTAGGTTACTTGAACTTTTATTGCAACTCTGAGTTTCATGCCTCTTGCGAAGCAATCGTCAGGCAACTGCCAGAAATAACGGTTACAATCCACCAAAATTTAAAAGACGAAACAATGTATACATGCGCGCGCAACATACTGCACGCGCTATCGTAACGTTAGGTTCTCTAACAGGAATTTCCTGACATGTCTGCAACCTGATGTCAGCTCATTTCTTTTGTTTAAACTTGCCATCTGCGGTTTACAAATGATAAAATATTTTTCCCACAAACACAAGTTGCATCTTTTAGCTACATTGGAATACGAACTAGCTTGTTTCACCTTGCGCCACTTAATATTAAACTTAGTGTCCTTATCTTTAAGACTCCATA